AACCTTCAGAGGTTCCTGCAATTACCACCCCCTCCGCCCCCCCATTTAAAACACCGGGCTTCATTTGTACCCCAGGCTGACCATGAACTCCTTATCCTTCTGCCTCACCACTCATGAGTACTGGAATTACAGGTGTGTGCCACCATGATGGGGCTCAAATTTTTCTTTTTAAAGTCCTAAAAATTTTTACAGAGGCCAGGGGCAACCACAAGTGTTTTCAATGTTTTCTGTGTAGTTAAAAGGCATTTCTAAGAGCCTAGTTTCTGGTGAGGTGGTGTGGCTAGAGATAGCCTGAGAATGTGCTAAGTGGAGGCCACCAGGGGACAGGTGTGAGTGGCCCCCAGGCTCACTCACTCCTCTTGTACAGCTGGGGAACGCCTGTCTGAGAATGAAACAGAAGAGCTAATGGCTTGGATGAGAAATGCTCTGGGGTCTCGTGTCGCCAGTGTGAAGGTAAGGCCTTCCTCCAGTTATTGTGGGACTTGGTGATGTCCAGAGCCTGACTGTAGCTGCTAATTGCTGGCCTAGTGTGCCCTCATAGGAAGGCACTGAAGCCAGGGTGGGGCCCTGCTGTATTCCCAAGGCCACAGGCACTGACATCTCACCATCAAGGCTTTGTTGCGCCTGGCACTATCACTCTTCTGAAGCCTCCTGTCTGTGCTGTTCTTTCACAAGCCACTGCTGGTCTTGGCCCTGCTCAGGGCAGGTGTTTCTCTGCAGTGCTTCCTTGCCTCCCTCTAATACAGGGTCCTGTTAGTGCTTCCTGTGGTGACGAGACCTCACGTGAGCCAGTCAGGCTCTGCCTCTCTATATGGGGTTGTGGTGGGGAAGAGCTCCTGGCCACTGGGGAGAAGGATCTGAACCTGTCCAGGTCCATACTCCTTGGGCACCTAGCTGGGATCTTTGTCTGGAGACACATCACAGGAGCAGGTGCCACCACAGGGCCAGTCTGCCCTCTGCCTGATGGCTCGTTAACTTCACCCTGCTGCAGCCCTCACTGCTGGGTTCTTCCTCATCCTGGGCCTTGCTTGCAGGTGACTCTCCGCCTGGACACGCACCCTGCCATGGTGACGGTGCTGGAGATGGGGGCTGCCCGGCACTTCCTGCGCATGCAGCAGCTGGCGAGGACTCAGGAGGAGCGTGCTCAACTGCTGCAGCCCACGCTGGAGATCAACCCCAGGTACGGCTGTGAGCACGAAAGTGTGGGTGTAAAGCTTGTGTGCGTGTAAGGTGGTTCTAAGAGAAGCCCTTGCAGTTCAGCAGAATTCGAAGGCACTCACAGAGCATGGCTGGTCTAACTTGTTTCCCATTTCTCCACTAGAGTTCCATTTTCTCGAGTTAAACCACACACCTGGTCTTTTCTCATATTGTTTGTTGTTGGTTTTGCCACCTCCCTCAGCCAGTTTTTACCTTTGTGGAGTAGACCCTGGTGCAGGTGGTAGCGTACCGTGGAGTGCAGGATCCACCTTAGGACGGCTTACTCGCTTGAGAGATTTGTGTGGCTTGCAGTTTGGAGCTGCTAGAAACGGGGTTGCTCTGAACATATGTGGGCTCTCTAGGATGTGCAGGCCTCACAGGTCCACAGCCGCTCCCCACAGAAGTCCCAGGTCGGTGATGTGTCATTTGTAATTTGTTTGTTTGAGATGGGCTTTCACTGTGTAGTCCTGCCGGCCTAGACCTCCATATGTAGACCAGGCTGGCCTCTAACTCAGAGAGCTCAACCTGCCTCTGCCTCTCGAGTGCTGGGATTAAAGGCATGTGCCACCCTGCTTGGCCATTTGTATTCAAATGTCCTTTTAAGGTATCTTTTAATCAGCAGATCTTGATTTTATTATAATCAAATTTGTAAATCTTAGCTGCTTTATGGTTTCTGTGGAATCAGTTCTTTCTAAAAAGCTCTGTAATTTAGGCTTCTGTGTTAATTTTGTTCCAGTCTGGTCTCATTCATCTCATTCTGTAAGAATGCCCAGTGGTCTTGGCCTCGCTGAGGCCAAGGACGTGCGTCCTTTTCAGCTGTGGATTACCATGTGTGTTGCCTGTCGTCTCTGTTAGAACTGTTTCTCTTCTTCCTTGAATCTCCATAGGCAACAAGTGAGCTTGAGGCACTGTATTTCTCCTCAGTGAGGTCTTGGCTACTCTTGGATCTTTACGTCTATATAAATATTTAAATTAATCAGACAAAACCCATAGTTACTGATATACTTGTGGGGCTTGGGGCTTTTTGGTTTTGCTTTGAGGCAATGTCCCTAGCAGTAGCATAATCTGATCCTGAAACTCCTGGAACTCACTCCATAGACCGGGCTGGCCTGGCACTCAGAGATCCGCCTGCCTCGGCCTCCGAAGCACTAGGGTTAAAGGCGTGCCCCACCATTGCCCCACTGCTGTGTGGCATCTTATTGTGTGTTTTAAATTTTAAGTGTTGCCATTGGAACTGTATATACAATGAGGGTAAGGAATAAATTGGTTTTGCATATAGCAATAGCTCTTTGGGGCAGGATTGTTTTGGTTTTTTGAGACGAGGTTTCTCTGTGTAGCCCTGGCTGTCCTGGAACTCATTATGTACACCAGCCTGGCCTCTAACTCAGAGCTCCAGGCCTGCCTCTGCCTCCCGGGTGCTTAGATTAAAGCTGTGCTCACTACAGCCACCTAGCTTAGCAGTGATTGTTTTTAATGAAGTTACAGAATTCCTAAAGATGTTAGTGTAACCCGCTGTCAGTGTAACTCGCTTGACTTATTTTCATTTCTTAAGATACATTTTTGTTGTTTTTGTTAATATGTGGATGTGCACACACATGCAGGTGCCCTCGGAGGCCAGAGGTGCTGCTGGGGTTATGTGGAATGAGCTGCCTGTCACGGGTGCTGAGCCTGAGCCGTCTGTCAGAGGGTGTGCGTTCAGCCATTCAGAAGTCGCTCCAGCCCTCATCTCCTCTTTAACTTACAGATGTTTGAGATTTTAATATCACACATTATTTTTTCACTTTATAATGATAAATTTTTATTAGAAACTATGGTGTAGAAAGGTCTGGAGCCAGATCATAGACATAAGTGACTAGCTTGAGAGGGTTCGAGCAGCTTCTGGCCAGCAGCAATGAACCATGCTCCAGCCACCTGCACTGGCTGCCACGAGGCTGTGACTTTAGAGTAAGTGACTTGATGTGACAGCTAACTAGTTCTGGCACAGAACTGGTCTTACGAGTGCAGAGTGCTGAAGGACTCTGTTTTCAATCTTGTTTTTAGGATTGTCGGTATGTTCTCATGGTTAGGAAGTCAAAAAGGCCATTGGTAGGGGCATTTTTCAGGTAATCTGTAATAAGCAGTATGTGTTTCCCCTCCCCCAGGGCCATGTACCATAGAGGTTCTCAGTTTACAGGGTGCCCCATGCACGGCACGTAAGCATACCCTTTCTTCCAGCTTTGTAGACCCCGCTGTCAGCGCGCAGGGTTAAGGTTTCCCTGTCGCACACGGTTGTGTCAAGAAAGAGCTCGCTCATGGCCTCGGCGCCTTCCTGTGTGTTCCGGGGAGGTTTATAATGTCCCCATCTGTCATCATTTGTCAAACCTCTTACCTTCTGCTGTTCTCATAAGTGAAAATTAATCTACAGCTTGGATGTTTCCTGTAGAGTTCAACTAGAGGTTTTTTGTTTTTTGGTCTTGTAGGAAGGAGAAAGATGGTAGACTTGGGTTTATCCTTTCCATCTTCTAGGTTTGTATTTTATGTGTAAGAGCAAATCTCAGTTTTGTATCTTTTAATCGTTGGTGCTGGAATTGGGCTGGGATTAATCTCTTAGAACAAAATGACCTGGTTTTCGAGCTGCTGTCCTGTATGTACCCTCGCGGTGTATACCAGCCCACCTTCTTGCCTGTGCAGTGCTGGCATCATCGCACAGTGAGCTTGAGTGCTTGGTCTGTGCAGGAGGCTGTCCCTGCTGTCCACATCTCTACCTCCCCGGACGGGCTCTTCTCAGCGGTTCTTCCATGCTGATTTTTCTATACATTTAGATTTCAAATAATATGAACTGCTCACCTTTATTTATGTCTTCAGAGATGAAGCTGCACTTGGACACTGATTTTGACTTTGCTGCTCAGCACCCCACCTGCATTATTTATTTATTTATTTATTCATTCATTCATTCATTCATTCATTCATTTGGTTTTTTGAGACAGGGTTTCTATGTGTTGTGACAGCCCTGGCTGTCCTGGACTTGCTTTGTAGACCAGGCTGGCCTCAAACTCACAAAGATCCCTCTGCCTCTCAAGTGTTGGGATTACCCACCACCCCTGCTCCATCTGCATTTTGACATTGGCACTCTTACAGTGACTGTTGACTTGACAGTCATGCTAGACAGACACATTGTAGGTTTGGGGATGTTCTGATAGCCCTCCTGTAGCAGCAGAAGCCCTGGGTTAGTGACTGCCAGCTCCAGCTGACTTTCCTGTTGGCTCCCTGATACAGGCACGCACTAATAAAGAAGCTCAGCCAGCTGAGGGAGCACGAGCCGGAGCTGGCCCAGCTGCTAGTAGATCAGGTAAGGGGCACTGGCTGGGTTTGGCATCCTTGTCTGCCTTGGAGGTAGGAAGCTGCTGTCCTCCTAGGGGTCGCATGTAGGTCCGGCTGGACATGAACCCCTGATCCTAATTTTACTGTCTCATCCCTCCATTTCAGATCTATGAGAACGCCATGATAGCAGCAGGGCTCATTGATGACCCCCGGCCCATGGTAAGCCGCCTGAATGACCTTCTGGTTAAGGCCCTAGAGAGACACTAGCAGCCAAGAGACTGGACCTAGTGTGCAAGCCAGGTCTTCTCAGGGGACAGATGGAGCTGCCTGGGGAGAAAGGACTTGATACACCGACAATACCACCAACTGCTTGAACTCAACTTTATTTACTTGGATTAAACAGTATTTCTTAATCCATGTGGTAGACGTTATCTATGGTCTAATGCTACAGTATACAGAGGGTATAATGCTACAGTGCCAAATGTGCAGCTGGCATCTCCTCAGCGGAAGCAGTGTGGCTGTGCCGCGTGGCGACGTCAGGTTCTCCTGAGGGTCACTTCCACTGGGTAATGGTCACTGATGGCTTCAGCCTACAGAGGCAGGGAAGAAGTGGGGAGAACACAGGGTCAGAGAGGGTGAGCAGTTCGAAAGCCTTGCTGCTCCTGGCCTAAATCACCTCCACCCACGTCTAGTGTGGAAAACAGTAGCAATGTCAGGAATCACTGAAGTCAGCTCTTATTTGGCCTGAAGCTGACTTAAACTGCATGAAGGAAGGACACGTACCAGCTGGCTGGAGAGACCGTAGGCTGCTTGGAAGTCAAAGGGAGCAGCTGAGTTGGGGACAACAGCGTCCTGCAGCAGCGCTCCAGCAATCACAATCCTGTAGGACGTCAAAGGACACGGTTCCCTCACCACCCTGTACCACATAGTCTTTGGTAATGGTCTGCTGGCCCCAGGCTCCAACCTTGCTCCACACAGGAGCACTAAGAGAAGGCCCTGCAGGAACCAGCCTGTAGGGGTGCCCAGATAGGACCCCGTCCCCTGGCACTAAGGAGCCCATGAGAGCCGAAGTTTCTGCCTCTTTTGAGAGGGGTGAGTGAGTGAAGGGTTGATTAGCCATTGACTCGAGGCTGCTTACCTGTCGTAAGCACAGTGTGTGGATGTCGCTGTGGTGTCGGCACTGTCAGGAATCAGCCACTGGAAGATGGTGCTTGTCCGAAGGCGGATGGAAGACCACTGGGAGGAAGTGACGTAGCTGCAGCCAGCATTGAAATCTCCCATCAACATGACGTCCTGCCAGGAGATATGCCTGTTGGTCCAGGGACAAATGGGGCCAGTCGAGCCCATTGTCCTAGGGCGGTCTCACCTCCAGGCCCCACTTCTGCCGGACGTCCAGGTAAACATCGTAGAGGGCGTCGATCTCAGTCACGGCATCTGTCGGGGCTGCGTGCAAGGGCACGATCGCAAAGTCTCTGACCTCTGAGGAGACAGCAGGCACTCTAAGGACATGGTGTGCAGAGACCAGCCTGGATCGGGGCTGGTCCGAGGAGATAGAGATGACGCATGTGTGACAGCCCCCCTCAGGATGGACATACTCCTTGGAATTAAATGTAAATTCAGAGCACTGAGAGCTGAGGGCATTCCCTGACGGAATGGATGCGCAAGGTGTGGGTGGGGGCTACCCTTGCCACAGGTGTCTAGAGCCATAGATGTGACTCCATCTTGGCCTGGGCAGGGCTGAAAGTGGAGCACAGCAGCACTCACCAGTGTATGGGGAGAAGAACCTGACAATGGTTGGCTCTCGGCTGAAGGTGTCATTTCCACAGGGCTCACAGCCATCATCATAGTAATAGGTGTCCAGAACAGACACCTGGTCAGGCCTGAAGAAAGACCAGGAGGTGAGTTCGGGGCTGAGAGGCACCTGAGAGTAGCCGTCCACCCAGACTGAACCTCATCCTGCACCCTGTGATACACACTGCTGCTCCTGCTCTGTAAGGGCCCCTGGGCTCCCCAGAGCACCCTCAGCTGCTGCAGCCAGACTTGGGGTCTGTGTCTCCGTCTCCATGCTTGTATGCTCGGGCTTTGATCGTGGGGGCCTTACCTGTACAGGAAAAGGTACTGTTCCTTGTAGCTGTTGCGGCCCAGTGGCTTACTGACCACATAGCGATAGGTGTCAGGTGCATCCCTGGATAAAGGAAACCAGAGAGGGAACCTCGTAGTACCCAGTAGCAAACTCCATCCATGGGGCCCCGGGGAGTGAGGCTGTCCCCTGTAACTAGTTGCCACATGCACAGACTCCAGGCCCCAGCACTGTCACCCACCGATTGAGTTCATCCAGTAGCTTCCCAACAGCCACGAGGTGGGTGTCTCTGACCTCTTGGACAACGGTGATGTCATAGCGGCGCAGGATCTGGGAGTAGGGTCACAACAACTGAGCAAGCAGCCCAGGGCATCAGACCCTGTCCCTATTGGAATCTGAGAGCCGTTGCTGCAGCTGCCGCTCTTACTCATGGGCAGTGTTGACAGTGGCCTGACAGCCCTGACTCCACCCAGGTACTGGGAAGGCCTGAGGCTTACTGACTTCTGTGGTCCCAAGAGATGGCTGACACCTTCCCTCGGGGTCTGTCTGTTCTCAGGCATAGGCCACCCCAAACTTACTTTCACAATGTAGCTAACGAGGGTGTCATTGGACATCTTAGTCTCCCCAAAAGTCCGGATGTTGAAAGCTGCAATTTTCAGAGTCACAGCCAGCTGCAGCAGGCTGGCCATGGTGAACAGTATCGCCATCAGCCCTGTGCACCTCATCCTGTGAGATTGGGGGTGTCAGGACAAAGAAGCAGTGACCCCACCACCCTCATCCTAGATCCACCAGTGGGACCAGTCCTTCCCCTGCACTCACCTGAAAGCCAGTTCTGGGTGCAGTGGCAATCTGAGATGACTTGGATCACTGGGGATCACCAGCCAGAACAGAACTGCTCTGTTGGTAGGATGTGTCCCCGAGTCTACTCTGATGAGCAAGGGACCCCTCACAGGGAGCCCACCTGACTCTCACGGAGAGGCCTGTAGGATGTGAGAATGCTGCCCAAACCTGATACTAATTTCTCCTTTTGCTTTTAAAGGAAAATTCTTATACAGAATGTATAGAGGAAAAAAACAAAAAGCAGTGTGGAATTGCAGAGCTGCTAGCTCTCCAGGTCACTGCCCAGGCAATGCCAACCTGCTCTGCCTTGCCAGTTTTATAGGTTCAGGCAGTTATGACCTCCCCAGGGCACGTGTGTACCCTTCACCTGAGAGCAGAGAACAATGGGGCTGCCTGTGTGGCTGTCCCTCTGGGGCCCTAGACAGGCTGATTGCACATGCTCACTTCAGCAGGCGCAGTGCCTCCTCACTGCTGTAAAAACACAGCTGATACCATGTTTGTGCATGATTATAAAACATCTAGCAGTGTCCTTTGCCCACGCCGTCCTCACCCCTGGGGATGGGCAGTGGGCGTAGCTCATCTGTTTGTGTGTGCTCTAGGGGCCTTAATGTCACCTTGTAGGCAGTGGCTAAACTCTAGATGCTGTGGCATGTTGCACATGGATTCCCAGGACAGCTACTCTGCTCTGTGGCTTCAGTTGTGGAGATGCTAGAGGCTCTGGATGGGAAATGCAAGGCTGAGTGGTGGGAATTCTTCCTGGGGGAACAAAAAGCTCTGGGGGACCCCAAGTGCCTACATCACATGACCGCATAGCTCAGGGCTAGGTCTTGCCTTCATTTTTTTATCAATCCTTGACAGTACCTTTGTGTTTGTCCCCTAGGAGTCTGTAACAAGCTACCACAATCCATGAAAGCTCCGTAGCCATAGGTTCAAAACCCAGGTGTCTGAAGCCATTCGTACCCCTCTCTAGGGAAGATTCTTGTCCCTCCAACCTCCTTTGTGATCATATTGGCTTCTTTTGGGCCATTATCCCTCTATCTGAGTGGAGCTGCATTTCCTGTCCTCTAGGATGAGGCCAGGACCGTGCACACTCTCTCACCTTACTCTGTGCTCCTTCCCGTAAACTGCAAGTATGTGTGTGTTCATGTGGATGACAGGGTGTCTTCCTCCGCCTCTCCCCGCCTTGGTTTCTGGGTCAGGGTTTCCCACAGAATCTAGAGCTCACCAAATTGGCTAGAGCAGCAAGCCCCCAGAATCCCCCTGCCTCTGCCTCCTAGTACTGGCATTACAAGCACATGCCATGCTAGTCTTACATGAGTGCTGCAGATCTGGCTTCATGGTGAGCACTTTAACAACAGAGCCATCTTCCCAGCTCCCACAAGGCTCTCTTTTTGCCAAGTGTTAAGATGTGGGCATCTTTTGGGGTTGCATCACTTATCCCCCCATTAGATGCTCTGTGCAGCTCTCCAAAGACAGCACTACCATGTTACAGCAACTGAACCTCCCTTCGGAAGGAAGAGCTTGTATACCCAGGGAGAAGTGGTGCATGTTAGAGCAGGCAGCTACAGGAGGTTGGATATACCAGAAGCAGGACAGCCTAGAGGTCAGGAGTCAGCAAAGTACAGCAGGCCTGGCAGCTGGCCAAGGCACCTGGCATGCAGGGCTAGGACTTGACAAGAGTACAAAGGTAAAGACGCCTCCAGGAGGCCAGTGTCTCAGTGGCACCGGTGCATATCTCCTGTGCTTCGGTGCATATCTCCTGTGCTTGTGCCTGCACAAGTCTCGGATCACATCACTCACCTGCCAGAAACCCCATCACAGTTCTGTTGTTGAAACAAGGTGTCAGGATGTGTATGCAGCCAAGGATTATCTTCATCTTGTGATCCTCCTGCCTCCACCTTGCACATTCTAGAATTCTTCGTTGAGTTTACAGGTGTGTGCTGGTTATGAGGCACTGGGTAGCAAACTCTGGTCCAGCCCCATTCAAGTCTTTTCAAAAATAGGAGTGGCAGCTGTGACACCTGCTGGGTCAACACCTCTCATTTCTCTACCTCGTCACACATCTGAGGGACTGATGGTGGGAGCGGGAGCAGACCAGCGTGCACTGTGGCTGGGGCAGGCAGATGGACACAAAAGCACCAATAATACCTGGGGCGAGCGCCCTGCCCTCTTGTTTCTCAGCATGTGTAGCTAAGGGTACTGGCCAGCCCGTTCCCCACTCCCTGCTCCCAGGAGCTCTCAGGCGTGCCTACCCTCCTTCCAGCCAGCAAAAGGCGCAGGCCTTAGGCAGCATCTGGGTCCTGGGCACCAATTGCACACGGTGGCCCCTACAACAGGGCTCCCTGAGAGCCACTCAGCTTGGGATAAGGGCTTCTCTGCCTGCTCTGTGGTTGGAGGGTCAGTGGACGCAGTACTAGTTTCAGTAGTTGACCCCTCTCAGAAGGAAAGAAGCCTCTGGGATGTTACACAGCCTCACTTACCATTCTCTTCTGTGTTCTTCTGTGTCAACTTCTGTGGCCTCAAAACTCAGCGTGCACAAGAAAGGTCATTTTCTGTCGTGTATGTCTTTGTCCCTGGGGCTGGACTAGGACAAAAAGGGGGAAGTGGAAAGCCCACTAGATAAACAGGGTATGTGATGCTCTCTGCCATGCCCAGCATCAACAGGAGGACCAGGGGCACACTCCATCCATGCCATAGCCCACTTTGGACATGCAGGAATAGGCCCCATGGAAGGTAGAAGCAGCTGAACACTTCTGGAATTTTCAGTCACATCAACACGGAAGTGTATGCTGACAGCCAGTGGCCATGAGGAAAGCTGGCCACTTTCTCAGATCAGGTGAGCTTTTTTAAGGTCAGCTATGATGATTTACAATATTCTCTTTTTAAATTACTCTTGTCACAGATAGTGGGGAAACAGCAAATAACAATGGTTTATTGAAGTATGAGCCAAGTCAAAGGATACGGGAAAAATCCTCTTAAGCACTGTGACCAGAAACCAGTGGCCCCAGTGGGGCAGGCTGGGTAGGGCTTTGTGCCACCACCAGTGCCACGCCACCCTCTCCACAGAGAAGGGACACAGAGTAACTGCAGTGAGTGGCGAAACCCCCATTTCTGTACACGGTGTTCTGTGGGTGTCAGACAACAGGCTGACTACCGAGTTCCTTCCCTGTGGTGGTCTGCAGGCCTCGGTTGCAGCAGTCCCTGAGAAAGCATTACCATGGGAATCGATGCAGACTGAGATGAGGATGGTGAGGACGGTGGAGTCCAAGTCTCCAGCAGGCGGATATGGCCCAGGGACAGCTATGGTTACAAAGAAGTTTTTCTTCAAATTTCATATATGGGCCAGTGAGATGGCTTGGTGGCTAAAGGTACTCGCTGCTAGCCTGAATTTAATCTGAAGGATCCACCTGGTGGAGAGAAACATCCCCTGTAAATTGTCCTTTGAGCTTTACATGCATGCTTTGGCACATCCATGAACACATGCACACAATGAATGAATGTAACAACTTCAAAAAAAAAAATGTATGTGTTAGCTAGGTGTGGTGACGTACCTTTAATCCCAGCACTCAGAATGTACAAGTAGGCAGATCTCTATGAGTTTGAGGCCAGCCTGGTCTACATAGTTCCAGGACATCCAGAGCTACAGAGTGAGACCCTGTGTTGAAACAAACAAACAAAACAATAAATATTCACGTGGGCTAACTTTTCCAAAAGTTTACTGTAAATTGTGAGGCCGTATGCACTGCTTGGGTTTGCATACCTAATAAAATATATCTCTCAGTGATGTTCTGTGACCTCCGGTCCTGGGGTATTACTACTGAACCTTCGCTAAATTGTCTGCACTGAGAAGCCTGGGAAGCATTGACCTAAGGAGCTGGACACGGCCAATTAGGGAGCAGACAGCCTACCTTCCACAATACTCCGTTACTTCTGCATTGCATCATTCACAAAAGCTTCAACATCTCACAGAGACACTCGGGTCTACATTATTCTAAGAACTTGCCATGCATTAAGCATTTTACTTGTATTTAAAGCCATGCGTTTGTACTGACAGATCAGCAACGGGAGAGTGGACACTTGCCACACCAACCTGACAAAAAGTTCAATTTCTGGAACCCACACAAAGGCTTGGAAAATAACTGACTCTCAAAAGTTGTGCACACATACACACTATGATAAGGGGGGTGGGGCAGATATCAGCAACCTGTGTGAATGACAGGAAGCCAACTTTTCTCCAAAACAACAAAGTCCAAGATTCAGCAGCTGACCCTACCATTATCATAAAAATGTCACTGCTGAGAACCATTATCTACAGGGAAAAGCTCCCCACAGATAAGAAGGGAGACTTTGAACACAAGTTCTACAGTCCCCAGTAAGGGCCTACAGTCAGGGGCTACTGGCCTCACATGAGACAGCCAGCGTCCTGTGCTTCCTTATTAAGGAGTACAGTGGCGTGCAGGAATGAATTGTGCCAAGCAACTTTAGATCTGATCAGACTTCTACAGGTGCACCTGTTTCCATCAGGGACATGGCGTGGTCTGTAGATGCGTGGACTGCATTTGTAACTACCCTGGGATGCAGGAAGCCCAGGGACACATGATGGACACCTGGGCCTGTATTTAGTGCCAGCCTACAGCAACTAGCAGAGACACGTTAGCACCACTGTGAAGACACACAGCTTAACCAAATGGGGACACAGGATCACTAACATTTCATCAGGGAGGAATGAGAGCATATACTAAAAAGAAACTGGAAACGCATAGATAACTAGTGTTGAAGTTTATTTAGATCCTGTAAAACAGTGATCTTTTCATCTTATAAATGGTTAACAAACCAATCATTTGAGACAAGTGCCAAACCTGGAAATGCAGGCATATAATCCCAGCCACTCAGGAGGTTGAGCTGTACTGTGAGTTCAGTGCCGGCCTGAGTAACTTACTGAGACTATGTCTCAAAGTAGAAAGTTTCAAAAAAAAAAAAAAATAGCTCCGTGGTAGAGTTCTTGCCCAGCGTGTTCAAGGTTGTAGGTGCCCCCAACACAAACAAAAGAGGCAATGCAGTGGTTCAAGCCCTTCTCGTATTCAGATTTAAGAGAATGGGGAACTAATGAGTAACGGACAAGCATATGGCTTCCAGGTTTGGTTGATGGCACTGGGGTTACACAACCCTGAGCTACAGTGTGGCAGGATGAGGTTGGCAGGGTATGCCGGGGTCTGGGGCATAGGTGCATGCCTTGATTTTTATGGTCTAAATGTATTGACGTTTCCCATGACTGATTTTTAATTTTTATAAATAAAAACCCCAGGGGCCCTGAGTCTGTGTTCCTGGGACATGGTCACCCATATTTCATTCAAAATAAACTATTTTTCCTTAAACCATGAAAAACATTGAGTCATACAAACAGATG